GTCTGGTACGTACAGTTTGAGCTTCTAGTCACAGGTGTTTGAACCATACTACCGTCAGGGGTCATAATTTAGAGGGGTGTGCATCGGGTCAAAACTCATATTCCACCTGGTGTGGTCCAAATTTCCAAGAAGTCCCCGAAGGATTTTTTTTCATTCTCATTTTTACTGCATAATACTAGTAAAACTATCCAACCTTTAAGCAGTTACAGCTTTATCAAAAATAGTACTATTTTAATTTTTGAGTAGCCAGTCTAGTCCATTTTTTAATGCTGATTCTGAATATACCATTTTGTAGGATATTAAATTGATATTTGTGGTACTATTTTACTATTGAAAAATGGACATAATTTCCATCATACTAGTAGTAGTACTGCTACTAGTACTACTAGCTAGTACTTCTACTAGTATGATCAGTTTCACCTTAGTACCAGTTGTAACAGTAGTAATAACAGTAGTAGTAACAGTATTAGCAACAGTAGAGGATGGTAGTAGTAACTGTACCTTTGGGGACTTTTTGGAAATTTGGACCACACGTGGAATATGAGTTTCACTTTTTTTCATGCTTCGTGATGCGCAAAAAAATTCAATGCACACCACTCTAAATTTATGACCCCTGACTACCGTACAGTATGAGTGTCATTTTAGAGCAACTTTGGCATTAATTTAGAGTTAGGGATAATACTAAAATTCAGTAGGAATCAAGCAATCTGATTGGCTAATTAGACAGGAGATCAAAATATTGATAATCCTTCAAGTCTACTCCCCTGGGCCCTCCGGAAGCAACGTGAGCGCGTCCCCCCTTTGAAATCAAGTATGGGGGACATGGTTATTTTTCCCATGTAWTAACCCATGATTCTAAAACAGGGGGTTATTTTCACCAAAAATAACCCATGTTTTAAAACTTGGGTTCCTGGGTTAACTCACAAATAACCCACCAAAAAAACACAAACCTGCTGGGTCTTTTTTCAAGAATTAAAAACAGTGATTAAATAACGTTAATGACTAAAATACTTAACATCCTTGGTTCTTCATCAACCCAGATGACTGCAAATTCGTGGGTTATTCATGGGTTATTTTGTGGGTTATTTTTCAAATTTAAAAACCCGCATTTTAGAAACGTGGGTTATTTCTCCCATGAAATAACCCATGATTCTAAAATGTGGGTTATTTTTCACCAAAAATAACCCACGTTTTTCTAGGGGAGGAATTTGAAAAGGGGGGATGTGCGTGTGGGTACCAGAGGGCCCTGATATCCAATTTTGCCATATAATTCTACAACAGATTTGTACCAGGAATCAATATTTGCTTGTTTTTTTTGCTTGTTTTGGCTCACGTTGAATTACCAGTTGTCCTTATTAATGAAGCTATCTTCCCCTTCTTTTGTCTGTTGGTGTCACTATCAATAGTAGCACCAAATGCCTCTGTTACTGATGGAGTGTACATGATAGAATGATCTTACTAGCCATTAGCTTGGAATATGCAACAGACAATCATGATACTAAAATGGTTTCATCATCCATCCTTGTTCTTTCATGCTACTGGTGCTACTAGGTGACAGTGCTTCTTGTTCATAGAACAACTGTACTACTTGCCGTGTTGATCGAGGGATACTAGCAATCCCTCACAATTCTAGAATGGATGAATTAACAGCAGCTCTTTTTGCTAGTAATCTAACCATGGGAAACGAAGTATCTACAAAAACTATTGCTGCAGCTGCAGCTACTGGAAAGCAACAAATGGAACAAGGAAAGGGTCTTGGCAAGAACACAGAGAATGACACCGAGAGAAGTGGCGCTACTATAGACCTACTAGGCCTAAAGGAAAGACCACCAAATTTGAACAAGGATGTAAATGGTAACAGCTTTCAAGATACTGCCTCTAGTATTGCTGCTGCAACTGCTGCAACTGCTGCTGATGCTGCTGATGCTGGTGCTGCTGATGCTGCGATCAAAGAAGAAATAGTAGAACAAGGAGGAGAGCTTTCTTCCAAT